TATATATATATATATATATATATATATATATATATATAAACACACACACACACACATATATATATATATATATATACTTTACTATTTTTACATTTATATATGAGGAAGAACAACAGCATGAAAGCTCATTTACCACCATGTCTGTCATCATCAGGAAGTTTGTCATGAACTAATGCCACAGTTCTTCAGAACAGCAGCAGTGTGTGATAAGATGCTCTCTCAAGCCGAAGAGCATTTTAAAATGAGTTGATACATTGAATACTGTCTTTAAGAGTGAATCATCAAATCATTCATTCAAATGATTCATTCAGTATTGGTTGTACACTAGTTATTGCATTGCTTTGTGTGATTGAATGAGTGCACTTGACAATGTACACTATAGTTTCAGGCACCACTACAAACAGTGTGTTTGAAGCTGCTGTGTTTTCTTCTAAACATTTAGCAAATGAGAACAGTTCTGTCATTCATGATGGTGATGACCTGTAGAGAAATGCTTATGAAAGTCCTTCAAATTCTTCAGTGTTACTATTGATACTATATACAAGTTTTGATAGTATAAGATTTAGACACACAAACACCCAAAATATAGCAGTAAAGTGAGACAAATGGTTTTCATAATAATTATAGATTAAAATTAATATATTGCTAAAAATCACTAGCAATTTTTAGACATGTTTATAGATTTACTTTATGGATGGTTCTAAACTTAAGTGTCTGTCACCTTTTAGTTTTCACACATTGACCACAACTTTGTTCCTCCCTGGTGTTAAAAGAAGACAAGTGCTGACTACTTAAACACATCTATACAGGAACAAGGAACTAAATAGTTTAATGTTAGACTGTTGAAGAGCAAACATGTCTGATGATATTTATGATGATGCCTTCGGGACTGAGACTGAGGGAATGAAGAGAGAGAGAGTGGAGATGACGGTGGATATCTATGAGAGTGCAGATCATGTGAGAGATTATGATTTCAAGACAGAGACAAATACCCAGAAACCACTTCAGCGTACAGGTAATCACATTCATTTCTTTAATTAAACGTCACAGTTTGCACATGTTCAGTCATTTAACATCATGTCTGTGGTGTTCAGGAAGTGATTGTGTGAAGATCAGAAGCTCCAGAGCAGCTCCAGTGTGTTTGGTGCTGCTGTGTGTTCTTCTGATCCTATAATAGGACTTTAAAGTTAAAGTTACATACAATAACTAATTGTTTGCGTGTGTCACAAACTTGAGTGTTCCTCATGAATGAGCATGCTCAGGAGGTCATAAATATATCTAGAAGGAGTTATATATTTATAACTGAACTGTATACTGACAACCTTAAACACATCTGAAGTGCCCTTACACAACAAAAGTATATGGGAATATACTGGAAATATATAATGCAATATTAAATAATACATTTCCACATTACTGGAAACTAGTGCTTATATTTTTCAGTATACTGCAATATATACATGGCCCATGTACGAGTGATACCTGTACATATAAAAACTATATAGTAATCAAGACAAAACTGCACTACATTTTCACATGTAGTAGCTTTATTGAAACACCAAATGAGTTCATTTCACGTTGTAGGGTTAATGCATGGGTTTGCATAAAGCTGAACACATTTTATTTCACTTTAATGTTTGCATATTTACACAATTCATATATGAAAATAGTGTGATGGTATATAAGGAAAAGTGTTGACTGAAAACAAATATTAAAATTGTAAATGTTGTGTTAAAATCATGGCAATCATGGTATAAAGTGCTATATCACAATATATATTTTCCTCATAACTGCTTGAGAGTATGAGAAAAAAAAATAGAATGAAAGGTCATTTACTACTACCCTGTCGGTCATAATCAGGAAGTTGGTCAATGAACTAATGCCACAGAGTGTGAGAAGTTGAACTGATGTGGCTTCTGAAAGCTCACAGAGATCAGAAGGAACGATATACAAAGCCACAGACACAGAACAGACTTTACACAATGACCTCAGAACAGTTTTGTTCCACTTTTCTCAGCGACTCTGGAAATAGCATTTGAAAGAAGCAGCCATTTTAAACAAAAATTCAAATAAGGAACACAGATGTTGAACACCAGTTAAGTTGAATTTGTATCAATTTTTAATTTAATTGGATTAAGTCAGGTGACTTTTCTCTCATGTGCTAATTTGAACCTGGCTGCTACATTTAATCACATTGCCACGACACATAAACATAATTATGCACGTTAATTGGCATGAATCAATAGGATGTCACATGCTCTTATACTTTGACATAATTTGCCCCACATTGGCCTCACCTACT